AGAAAAAAAAGATTAACACACAAGTCTGATATATTATATTGGGATTTAGTAGCGCCAAAACCAGTCCTATGTCAATTCACTGCGCCTTCCCGATTAAACAAAACATGTGAGCCAATGATTTAGTCAAATAAAACATTATAAAACATCAAATTATTATTGTGTCCTACTTTTACGACCAGGGAAATGCTAGGAAACCGATACATTAGAACAAAGATGTATCCTCGTATGGCTAAGACCAAGTTCTACGAAATCTGATTCGGTTCAGATAAACCATAGGCCCTATTTCCAACATTTATCATTGTTCCAATTTCATCTACAATATAAAAACCTATTTTTAGTGCCCCAACAGTAAAGGCTTGAAGATAGAGAACATAAACGTCCAACCGTTAGTATTTATTTGTGTTTGAGTGTGACGCGAGTGCGTGTGTGGGTGTGTGTTGACGTTTTTGTGTATTAAATAAGTAAAGTCTATCCTTTTCGCATTAATTATCTATTTATTGCTGCACTTATAAATGATGAAGTGTATTTCCTTTAAGACGAAATAATGGTCCATTTACTTCGTATTTTAGAACGTTCCATTACATAACGGCAGAAGCATAAAAATGCATGTTTTTAGTCATTTGACTTTAAACCTTGTTACGGATATATAACTCACACAATCAAATAAAGAATTATTTACATACAGTCTTGCACTCTTGATCTCAAAACAAATAATTGAATGTATTAGCGATCGTAACGTTATTTGTCTGGTTAAACTGATATTGATAATTTATCTTACACAGTAAACTTTGTATACACATGAACAATCAACTGCAAGTTGGTGCCACTTTTCTACTCCTAAAGCTTCGTTATACACATGAAAAGAAGTAAATCAACATCTTGATCGACAAATCTCTGTGATTACTCATTATCTTAATTGGTATAATAAGACAATGATATGAGTAAAAGTAGATACAATATGTATGATTGTATGTACATCCTTACTGTTAATCACCTTTTTTGCTAAACATTATCATGATGTATACTTATTTATTTTTGAGATTAGATATATCATGTTATGTTTTGTTATATATTACATTATGTGTTATTAATTTTGTTTGTAAAGTTGTGTAATTCGGTGAAAGTTTTATTTGAATTAAACTGAATTGAATTATTAATGCGTTCAAGACAAACTTCGAATCGAAGTCTATTGTTTCTCATAATATTTATATCCCTCTTCTCTAACAAAGTCGTTCATGCCGACATCGGTGCCGCCTACCACCTGGTTGTTGAGCTCACACACACCATTGCCGATGTTAAATGACACGCAGTCATCTCGCCTGTTACACTCGGCACCGCATTCGACCAATGACAATCCTTGTTTGGTTTTGATCACGTGATTTTGAAGGCGCCATCTTTGGTGGATCAGGTTGAAGAGGGAGGTCTTCTGGTGGACTATGTCTGCTTCTGATGGTATTGTAGGCAATGCCTGGTGAATTGTGGTAAAATCTGTGGAAAATAACCGAAATAAACATTTGATGTGATGTTTGACCATACCTATTAACGTAGGCCTATATCAAAGACGATCGCAAAGGCTTTCAAAGAACGAACCTTAATCAAGTTCAAAAGCCTTGGTCATCACCTTTTAAAATATGCGAGCATTGCAGCGACGTATTATATAATCCAAACATGATTTCTTTGGGATATATGCAAGAGTGTATTTTAATTGCCTTCGATTTTATTTCTAGGAAGTCTTTGTGAACGTGTTATGAATTATACCAAGTTTAAAGATGCGATGCTAGGTAAAAATTAAACCCTTTCAACCCACTTAAAGATTACGTAGGCATACACTTGACATAAAAAATACATTTAGCATGAGACTACACCTGACTGATTTTTTAAAGGCCAAGTTGAAATTTCATGCGGCCTGTCGAATATCTCGAATTTTTCCTGAAAGATCGTTAACATCACACACTGTCTAAAGCAACGGTTTGACTTTTTTCACTCTCTCTCTTTATGTTCATTGTATTATTTTGTTTTTGAAATAATGTTTACCCAAGTCCATTGGTCGTTGGAGAAGAAGGCAGAGGACTATCTGGCCATCTATATTAGCTCACTTTCATAGTAGGTATACAGAGAGATGAAATTACGTTAAAATGATGAAAAATCTTTTGTCCATAATATAGACCGAAAATACAATACCTATATCGAATTACATTATAAGGCAACGGATGCTTTTAATTTTTCCTCACAATAGATTAATTATTTGTTTATTTGTGTCGGGGGGGGGGGGGGGGTGAAGGGCTGTGGATGCTGCAGGCGAAAGAAATATTCCCCCTTCCCACCGTCGTTCATATTAATAATTAGAGAAATATTTATTTTTGAACAAAACTATACAAACTTCTAACTCGATATTTGTAAACGAGGATACAAAAAAAAAATGGCGAGAATTTGCGAAGCAAAAAACGCTCCGTCGGCTAACTTTCGCACTGCCCCCAAAACATATATGTATGTATATTGTATATTTTTGCTCCGTCTTCTTGCAATAGATGCCCCTCTTCACCCCCCCCCCCCCATTTAGTGTACAGAAATAAACATACTTTGCTGGTTGCTATCTGTATAGGGGAATGCTACTTCTAGCATTAGCTCAACCATGAAATATTAATGATATTAATAACAACGATGATGATGATAAATAACAATGATGATGAAAGTAATACATATAATACTACAACTAATACAACTACTACTAATACAGTCAAACCTGTCTATAACGACCACCCAAGAGAAACACAAAAAGTGGCCTTTGGAGACAGGTGGTCTTTGTAGACAGGTTCCTTTAGTACATGATTCAATGAAAACCATTTTCAAGGGAAACAACAAATGTGGCCTTTGTAGACAGGTGGTCTTTGTAGACAGGTGGTCACTAAAGCAGGTTTGACTGTATAATGATATTAATAGTAACAACTACGGTAATAATAATAATAATAATAATAATACTTCTACTCAAATTAATAATAATCGTAATTAACAATAATAAAATGATAATAATAGTTACATACTAATTTTTCTAATAACTGTACTATCGCAACATGAAGGGTGGTATTCTCGAAAGCGGCCTAAGTTAAACCTGGCCTAAGTTAAACCGTGGTTTAGTTAGGCCAGGCTTAACTTAGGCCGCTGACCTAAGTCATTTTCATTTCTCGAAAGGTGGCCTAACTGATCCATGGTTTAAACCTGGCCTAACTTAGTCCATGGATTATTCACCATGGTTACAGTTTCTGCACATGCTCAGTACCGAAGCTGCGACGTCACAATGCACTAAGACAATGGATGCGCGCAGTGTGGAGAGGATGCATCACCTCGACAACTTGAGCAATATGACGTCACAATGCACTAAGACAATGGGCTAAGACAATGGATGCGCGCTGAGTGTGGAGAGGATGCATCACCTCGACAACTTGAGCAATATGACGTCCAGGGACGGCGGAGCGACTTCCAAAGCGGGGGGCAGCACCAACAAAAAGGGCACTTGCTGGAATTGTATCATTGTTAAAAGGGAAATTATCAGAGATGAAAAGGGTCACATATCGCACTTGAAAAGGGGCATTGAACATATTTTAAAAGGGGCACTTATGAGAATGAAAAAGAGGCACTTATAATAAAGGAAATGTGCATTTGTTGAAATAAAAGGGGCACCGATAATTTTGTTAATAGGGGCACCTCTCAGATTTAAATAGGGCAATAATCAGAGGTGAAGGGGCACTTCTGAAAAGTGAAAAGGGGCACTTATTGCAAAGGAAAATGAAAAATTGTCAAATGAAAAGGGGCGCGTGTCAAAATTAAAGGGGCACTTATCAGAGGTGAAAAGGGGAAGGGGCACTTTTCCTATGGAAAAAGGGGCACTTCTTACAAAGTTAAAAGGGAACTTTCCTATATAAAAAGGGGCATTTGAAAAAAGGGGCACTGTCACCCCCCCCCCCCAACTCTTTCTCTCTATCTCCATCTCTCTCTCTCACACACACACTATCTCACATCATTGTTTATTTCTCTCACCATTAAATTGTTCTTTCTCATTTGGTTCCCTTTCTCTTTTACGCTATCTCTCTCTCTCTCTCTTGTTCGCTCTCTGTTCTCCCACTGTTCTATTTCAAGACTTTTTTCATGTATAATTCAATGAACCCAACGATATGCACACTTAAAATCAAAAGATATGAAAGAAATATTGTATATAACATATCAACAATTATGTTCAATTTATTTATTTTTCTTAAAACAGAAAAGATTGTAATTCATGATGAATACGATTATAAAATTGAAGGTCAAAATCAAATATTAAGCTCCAATAGCCTCATAATCTGCTACTTGAAACTATTAGAATTAAATGTTATGTATTTGTTACATTACCTTCTCCCATTTTTTTAAAACAAAGCATAGTCTACTTTTGAGCCGTGTTTCTTTTGCAGGGAATCTGTTATATCATGACTTGCACTATATTATAAAACACATTACAAAACATAATTTCTTAAATGACTTAAAATCACAATTTTCCAGTGAAACAGTAAACATCTGATGTACATAAAAACATCCTTATGAGTAATGGTTGCTTTGTGGTTCACACACACAACAAGGACATATCAGGCTTATTATCAATGGTTGCTTGTTTGTTACCATAGCTTCATGTTATGAGGATTATACTACAAAGGTTTTGATCCCCATGCAGTCACAGTTACAGCAGCTGGAGTTTGGTTCATTGAATAGGCTAAGTAGAACTTCATAGTCCCCGCAAGTATGTCTGTTGTATGAAAAGAGAAAAGAATAAAAGGAAGCACATTGAAACCTATTTCTATTAAACATTAAATTGGTCTTGCATGTACATTGTGACCAAAGTGGACTTACATGCACATTGTGGTAAAAGTGGAGTGCATAATCAGTTACATGAAAGTATTGATGGAAAAATGTGAATGAACAAATGTACCTGGGCATACAAACAACAACTTATTCCTACAGCCTACCTCTCAGAAATTCAGCAGCTAAGTAGTTCTCCTTCCTCTCTCTGAATTTGTCTTAATCATCAGGTTATTTGCCTTCATTTATTTTACTGAAGAAGAACATCATCCTGAAACAAAAATAAAAAGGTTTAGACCTCATTAAAATACCAAAGATCTACTCCATTGATAATTGGTCTTAGTTATAGTGTCAATCATATTCTAACTTAAAAAAAACAACTAACTTTCATGTAGGCAGTGACTAGGCACCCCCTCCCCACTCAGTTACTAGTAATCATTGATTTACAGAATGACTACCGGTATCTCTTTTAAAGTCAAGAACAAACATACACATTCTTGCAGTACTATCTCATGTGCTTGCACCAAGTTGTACTTGCCATGTCATGGCCTAAGAAAGCCAAGTTAGTCTCTTTCCTAAAATCAAGTCTAGAGGTCTACATCTTACTTAGATAACTAGCCGACAGTTGGCCTAACCTAGATGTAAACGCAGCCTGGAATGTAGATTTTACAAGGCCCTAATCGTTAGAGCCCAACTTTTCCATTTTAGTTCAATCTAACATTAGACCAAAGATTGTCTTTGTTTACGTTATCTCCCAAAATGAGCTTCGTGAAGGGGAAAAAAGTAAAATGAAAATTTACTGCACTGTACTGTACTGCAGTCTGTAGGTCTCTAAGTCTTATATGATCTAGAATTGATAGTGGTAGGTTTGAGTTTTCTTCTGACCCAAATTTGAAAGTAGGTAATCAACTGTTGATTATTTGTGTCTTATTTTCAGAGATAGTTCCGCCCAAAAGTCTAGGCCAAGCTGTCACTCTCAGGAGTGACTGGTAGCCATGGCAATCAAGCTGAAGATATTAGCTCGTGCCGACGTAAAATGATAAAAGTTTGAGCGTAGATTGCACCTACATTCATCAGACAAAACAATTTTAAATCACTACATAATGTACCTTTAGACACATCTGCAGATTCATAAAATCAGCAGATCTTTTAAATAAAAATTGTATAAACATTATTTAGTTTACAAAAGTAAGACGTTATTACAGCATTACTCACCAGCAGACTTTCCAAGAAAAATGGAGTATCTATTTTTCCTGTTCAGGAAATAACTGGTGTTGGGCCAACTGGCGTGGAGACGCCTATGTGGGTGCAATCAATAGCACCAACCATATTTACGCCAGGGAAATGGCAGTAATTATAAAATTCATGTTGGGTCTTCACTCTGCAGGACTGCCTCTCTTGTTCAAGAATTGAGATGTATTGCTCCGATCTCCTGGCAATGGCTATTGAGATGGACTTCACAAGGCGGGTCACAGTAGCTTGGGAGAGGCCTTCTTTTTTCATCCCCATGCATCAATTGAAAAGAACCTGAAATAGCAGAAAATCAAGATGAAAAATATGTTGATATTTGATAAGAAATTACAATTTCTCTTTCTCTGTAGTTTACTAATAGTAAGCAAGGTCTACTGTACCATTATCAGCAAATGTATATGTCAAAAAAGGAAGCTTCTGTCCATTTCCTTTCAATTCCTGTAAGACCTGTCAAGACTAGACTCTTATTGATGAAATTTAGATTTCTTGGGGAGGGGGGGGGGGGGGGGTGGGTGGTTATGAAAATCATCATCATCCTGTAGAAAATTATCCCAACAACAGCCACAACTAGCACTGCAGCTCAGGCAGAGGTGTTACCAGACCGAAATTTCCGTCTTTTTCGTTCATTAGCCTCTGATTTGGGTAGGGTCGGCTCCTGAAAAAGATCCTACCCAAATCAGAGGCTAACGAACGAAAGAGACAGCCAGATCTAGATTTAGGCCTAGGCCTAGTGCTAGTCCACTTTTAGGCAACAGCGTCTCGAAAATCCACTATAAAAGTAGTTTCTACGTCTAGCAATGATATTTTTAAGGTGGTGTTAAGGTGGTATATGCGTACGAAAGTACAATAGTGGCCAGAAAAAAATTACCCGGTAAGAAATTGCTCAATCTCAGGAAACGAAAATGTTAACCGACAATTATTTGCACGTATGGGACTGGTCTGCAATCACCATGAACATTAACCAAGTTTCTCCCAAATTTATTCAGTTAAAAGCATTTTAGATTATCACCAGTACAGCAAAATGAAAGTAACAAAAATATTTTATTAGCTGGTGTAACTTTCATGAGCGCTTATCCATGCAAAAGAGTGTAAATTGTTATCAAATATAGAAATTCAAATGCAAAACTTACCGTTCACTCTCCGCGGACACTCGATTTAACTAAAACGTGACGTCACGCGAAGTTAGGCCGAACTATGACGTATTTAAACCTGCCCTCTGAGCGGCCTAAAGTTAGGCCGAACTATGACGTATTTAAGCCTGGCTTATCTTTAGGCCACCTTCGAGAATAGCAAAAAAGATAGTCCATGGTTTAAACCAGGTTTAGGCCACTGATTTAACTTAGGCCGCTTTCGAGAATACCACCCTATAGTGTCTAATCTGAATTTTTACTAATCTTTGATAATAATAATAATGATGATGATAATAATCATAATTTGTTTACAGGAAAAACCTCATCAGCTTCAGTGCAATTCTGCCAAAGGGCCCTGCAATTATTATTACACTGCGAATTGCCAGGTACCCATTTACAGCTGGGTTGGAAGTGGCGAATGTGGGCTTGTGTCTTGCCAAAGGACATTGGTACCAGTCTGGGATTCGAACCCTAAACATAAGGAGTGAGAGTCAAGTGAATGAACCACTTTACCATGACACCTCTATAATTTTGTGAATATTTACCTGGCGTAGGAGTCCGATCTTCTGTAGGCGTTTCAGGAGTGCCCTGTTATCAAACAGAAATGTTCAATTCTCTCCGTTCAGTATAATCATAACAGATTATTTCACGAAATAACTTTAATTATTTTATTGTGAATACTTTATTTCATGAAAACGGGGTAATATATAATTACATACGTAACTTAGTAGGAAAATATGAAACGACCCGGTTACCTAGCAATGATCGATGTGTATCGTGTTATGAAACCTATTATAATTCTCACTCATAATCGATGTTTAATACTTTTATTTGTAAGTGAGAAAAAGAAAATCTATGTCCAAAATACGTTGCACAAATGTATAAAATGAAATAAATGAATGAATGAATGAATGAATGAATAAGTTTGTTTGTTTTATTTCCGAAAATCATCATAAAAAACAATAACACAATATAACAAAATCAAAGACTTATATAACAATGATAGAATGATAAAACGGTTGGATAGTCCATTTCAGAGCCATTAACCTAATGGCTCTGTTCTTCCATGGAGTCCAATATATATATAATGATACTATAATAAGCAATGAAATAACAAAATAGTAAGTCGTAATTAAAAATATTTTTAAAAAAAACAACAACATTGTACTTGTACTTAACTTAACTAAATCAAATTAAATTAAATTAAACAAAAAACACTAACAAAAAGCATTAAAATCTATTCAAATATCCCCTACCATCCCTAATTTAACAAAATACGACCCCACCCTTATCACCCACCCTGCTAACAATTAACTTGATTAGTTTTAAAATATTCTACACATTATCTAATTTAGTCTGTTATTAAATTGGTTATGTTTATGGCAAAAGCCAATGGGATTGCGAAATTTAAATATCAAAATAATTGAAGTATTTTTGAACATGTTTATTAAACAAATTTAGTGTGCCTAACTGACGGAGCTTAATAGGTAGTTCATTGTATAACACGGATCCCCGATATAAGAATGTACGTTTACACTGATTGGTTCTTGGTTTCGGAAGCATTAAATTGTCATTATATATTATAAGTGATCAAGCGAGTGAGTAAAAAAGAATGAATAAATTGTAATTTGAACGTTAAATCAGTTCATCATGTTATGAAAAAAATTATCTATAAAACAATTGAGTTAGTAAATTATTTAAATAACACGGAATTATATTCTTCCCAGCGAATGTGTGTACGTCCCATTACCCCGTTATGGATAACTCACACTTGTTGACCTTGTCGGCACGGTTGTTGCACCTCTGACACCTATGTTTGGAATAAGAATAGCATTAAAAAGACGAGCATTAAAAGATGCAATGCTAGGTAAAGACTAACCCCTTCAAACCCACTACAAGGTTACGTAGACCTACACTTGACATTGAAATACATATAGCATATTCCCCTATACCTGACAGATTTATTAAAGGCTACGTTGATATTTCATGTAGCCTGTTGGATATTTTCATATTTATTTCTAATTACATTACAAGGTAACGGATACCTTCAATATCTACACAACGGCAGACTCTTTTTTTTTAGGTGGCGGGGAGCTTTGGATGCTTCGCCCCCCAACGGTATCATTTACGGCCCAAACCCCGCCCACGTATTTGCCCCATTTTGATAATGAGAAAACATTCAATTATTACACAAAATTATATCAAAATCTTAACTCAATATCTAGCGATGATACAATACAAAATGAAGTAGAAATGCTACCTCGGCTTACTGGCCCACTGCATCAAATGCTTGTATGTTTATTTTACATTTTCTACTCTGGATTGGCAGTGTCGTGGGCATGAGGCCAGACAATCCACACAACATAACAACATCAACAACAACAATGATGATAATAATAATAATAATAATAATAATAATAATAATAATAATAATAATAATAATAATAATAATAATAAAAAATGATAATAGTTACATGCATTTAGCGCTTAATTCTAATGTTTCTAATTGATGTATACCTGCTATTACAACCAATAGTGCTTCATCTAGATTTGCTTTATCTTGAATATTAAATGATAATAATCATGATTTTGTCTACCAAGAGAAGCCTCGTCAGATTCAGTGCTATTTTGCCAGAGGGTCCTGCAATTAGTATTACTTTAGCGATTGCCAGGTACCCAATTAAACTGGGTAGGAAGTTGCGGATGCTGATTAATGTCTTGCCAAAGGAAATTGGTGCCGGACTCGGATTCGAACCCTAAACATTCGGATTTCGGATTGAGAGTCCAGTGAATGATCCACTTTACCATGACACCTCCACAAAATTGTAAAAATACTTACCTGGCGTAGGATTTCGATATTCTGTAGGCGTTTCAGGAGTGCCCTGTTATCAAACAAAAACGTACCATTCTTTCCCGTCAGTATAATCATAATAAATTAATTCATGAAATAACAAAAATTCTTAGTAGATTTCACGAAAACAGGGCAATTCAGAATTACATGCATAACTAAGTAGAAGAATAATAATCCAGTAACCAAGCAATCAATATTAAGTGAATCGTGTTATCATTCAACTTAGTGTTATGAAACTGATTACTGTTCTAACTATTACAAATTAAATGAAATTAAATGAATGCATGAATCAATATGGGAGATAAAGCGAGTGAGTAAAAATAGAAGAAAAACAATTGTAAGATGATCGTTAATTCAATATATGATGTTGTACAAAATTTCATCTGAAAAAACAATAGTTAGCGAATTCTTTAAATTACACCAAATTACAGTCTTCCTAGTGAATGTTTGTATGTCAGATAACCCTTATGGAGGATAACTCACACTTGTTAACGTTGTCGGCACAGTTGTTTCATCTGTAACACCTGCGGATGGAATAAGAATAGCTGTTAAAAGACCATCGATGATTTAAACAATCAGATATATGTGGGGAAATATCGCCAGTGATCTTCATTCAACCACTCATCGACAAATCAGCTGGTGATGCAGCTTTTACCTCTCCTGCTCGCACACTCTGGAACAAGCTACGCCCTCAAATCAAAATCATCACCAACATGCCAACAGTAGAACAATTCCAACAGAGTTTGGAGACCTTTCTGTTCTAAAACCTTACCCATTCGTTGAAAATTACACTATCACTGCTTGGTAACACTAACTCGTGAAAGGCATTTTAGTGGAAAAGGTGTTGTATGAATTGTAACTATATCAATATGAAACATGTAGAGCACTTGGAAAACAGTGCCAATACATATTTATGAATACATAACAAAAACATTCACTTCTCTACGCATTCCAAAATAAGAACATCTTGAATAATTTCGATTTGTGTGTCCTAGTCTTGGGTGATTATTACGCAATTTCTCTTGCAGTGGGAACAACGTTTACGATTTACTTCTCTTGAAAATAATTACATTACTTGATTTATTGGATGCATTTTTAAATCAAAGCTATTGATATAATTACATGTTTTTCCTTTCCATATCATGCAATCACATGTAAACTATGTAAACTAAAACTTACATTCAAGCCCGGTTCTAGGAGAATATATTTTTTGAGGGGTGCCGGGGCTTGGGAATTCATGCATTTATTCTGCATTTGCCTCTTAGATTCATTTAATATTTTTTCGAATTTTTAAATGAGGTGAAAGTTTTTTTGAGGGGGGAAGGAGTCGATTTCCCGCCATTTCTACCACTACTGCTTACATTCATAATCAGCGTAGCCGTAGGTGTACCCCCCTTGGCACATTGAACCCGCCGAGCATGAGGCAGTGAAGGAACATGGATTGACCGTCTCGCAGTATGGAGCCCACTGTGCCGTCTTGTCACTGTTACCACACTGGCTCTCCAGGGAGGGGTCATAATCATTGCAAGAAAGAACCATCACACAAACTCCTTTGCTGATCTTGATAGTTGATCCTGGGTCGCACTCCAGCGTGATCGTTGGAGATCCACCTGTTCGACATCCTGTAACTATGCACAGTGTGATACAAAGTTGTTATTATGACAGTAAACACATTTCCATCTCCACTTACAATACAAAGGATATAACATACATTTATATTCTTTCAGATTATTTTTTAAAATTTCAGATCCATACATTAAATTATTATAAAATTTGTTGTGAGAGAAATTAAACATAATTTGAGAAAATTTGTGACAACAAAAGACTATATTACATTAATTCAATTATGTTATAGAATATAATTATTATTTATAACTGTTTTGGTGTTCACCCCTTTGAAAGAAGAGTAAACTGTTCATAAATATGGATTTATATAAATCGAATGTTTTTCACGGAAAATTCCAACCGAGCCTAAAATTATCGAGATGGAGTTTTATTTATTTATCGGCCTATATCGGATATTAGGTCCACGTGTTGGCATAAGGTTAGGAAGTAAATTTAAACTGGAAATATATTTATTCCAACTTTTTTACTTAACATTTCAAGTGATTTCAAGTTTCGTTGAAGGAGGAAAAGCTAATTCGGCACAGAAGCGTAGTGTCATCAGACGCGTAGTGCGATTGTCTACGATTGAAGCCGATTCGGCTATTAGTCTGACTAGAAGTCTTTAACGAACTAAAATTACGATTTAGTATTCTTATCATAAGTTTAGAACCTAAATCGGGATGATGATGCATGTTCAGATTTCCTAATCTATTACAAATGCTATTAATTCGGAAATCGGAGCGCATTCGGACCGTGTAGTGTGCGCTGCATGGTCTT